CAGGACCATAGCAACTACAGGACAGTATCTTTTTGTGAAAGAATCTTACTATTAAAATATTTGGCAACCTGTTCTTGAAAGCCCTGTTTTGATCAAACCACACTCCTGGGAGCCAGAATGTCACCATTTAGACTTTCCTGTCTTAGATGGTGAAAAACCACCAAGACAGACTTTTCTTTTTTTTTTAATTATTTTTGGTAACCATGGAAACATTTGGCACAATGCCAAAGCACACCGTCATTGAAGAATAAAAAATTCTTAGGAACTCATATATTATGCCTGACATTAGGTAAGAAGATACATGGTATGTGGCCAAAATATCAACAAAAATTTTGCCATGATTTTTTAAACCAAACAGATCTTAAACAGATGAGGCAGACGTCAGACATTTTCTTTTAAGTAATCCTTTTATAACACTTGCCCTGCTTACCTGTTCCCACATTTTACTTCATCTCTCTAGTGCCATGGTTTTATTTTTATTATCCATTTCTGTGCTCGGCATATCACAATTTAGGTAAAACATTTGTGACCCATGTTTAATGATAAATGATGTTCATATACTTAGTATAATAATTGGAAAACTCTAATTATTCTGCACGTTTTGGTATGTGATATGGCCAGAGACATACCAAAAAAAAAAAAAAAAAGACAAAGGAAACACAAAATTTGTCAGACAAATCTAAGTTTTATTTCATTGAGATTAGTTTCAAGGTTGTATAAAAAATTCCAGTAGTGATTTTAAGAACCTTTTTATGTTAAATCTAGCAAATATTTCCCTAGATATTAACCTAGAAAGTTTGAGATCCTAAGCTGACTTTCTATGAGCCCTTAAATTGTAGCTTATATGGTAAAATATTAGTTGTCTGGATGTGTTTATGAGAGTTTGGCTACTTCAGCTGTTAGTCAAGTATAAAAACAGGGTAAAAGAGAATTTTTATATCTTTCATTTTCTTTGTTTCTGCATTTTTAATTATGGAAATAGTAAATGAAAATAAGTGGACATCACTAGGAAGTATAAGGGAAAACAAATATTCTCTGGAAAATTATTAGTGGATCACAAGCAAATTTTCATAGCTGAATTAAAAAATATAGTGAGTTATTTCAGATTACTATGTGCTAATTATAAAATTTCATGCATGAAATTAGTAATTTAGAAAACAGTGAAAAATACTACTTGGGATAATGATGATTTATAGCAGTGAGTATAGAATAAATGTTTTTGTTTATTGATGTATAATTTATATAAGTAAAATTCATCCTGTTTAGGTGATTAGCTCTGTGAATTTCAGTAAGCTTATACAGTTGTGTAACCACCTCCACAGCTAAGGAAATATATCCCTCATCTCCCCAGATCTCCATTCTTCTATGTCATCAATCCCCGTCTTCTCCCCACAGCCCCTGGCAATACTCATCTGATTTCTTTCTCCATAGTTCTTCCTATTCTGGAATGTTGTATAAATGGATTGATTAAATATGTAGCCTTTTGAGCCTAGCTTCTGTCACGAGATGCAATGCTTTTGTGATTCACAGCTGTTGTTATATGTACCCCTCATTTGTTTCTTTCCATTGCTGAGTGGAATTCAATTGTATAGATCTCCCACAAGTTGCTTTCCTATTTACCAGGTGAAGGATATTCGAATTGTTTTCAGCTTTTGGAGATGGAGATCGTAAATAAAGCTGCCATAAACTTTGTGAACAGGTTTTCGCTTGGCACGGCTTCATTTCTCTTGGGTAAACAATACCTGTGTGTGGGATTGCAACATTGTAGGGAAGCATATGTTTAATTTTATAAGAAGCTGCCAAACCATTTCCAAAGTGGCTGCGCCATTTTGGATTCTCATCAGCAGTGCATTGGAGTTGTAGTTGCTCTACATTGAGTATAGGGTTTTTGTTGTTTGTTTTGTTTTGTTTTGTTTTTGTTTTTATCTTAAAGTAAAAATCCTTTCTTTCAAGTCTTTCTGAAGATGCATTATATTAAAAATCGATATACTATGTTTGAATTTTGTATTCTTTTACAAACATGGGCTGGTTAGGGTATTGGGGTGTCAGGTTGAGTTAATACCATTTTTTCTTTCCTATGAGTTAGTTCACAAATATAGATACATATATATGTTAGGAAATTAAAGATATTTCAGTAAAATTATGATTAAAAGGTGTGTTACATATATACAATAATGGGAGTTTCCAGATCACTTAAAATGCTTGGCCAGTAATTCAGAGCTTCCTAAATATAGAGACAAATGAGTTCAGGCAAGTCTTGAAACCCTTCTAATAGCTGAGTCTTTGGTTAAATTAGAACTACGAGTTGCAATAGTAGTTGACAAGGCCACTCTTGTCTTTAGTTGGAGCATCTAGATGCGGCAGCCCATGAAAACAGCAACTTAGAAGCACTGGAATAGTTTATAAGATTTCCAAGCCAGTGATAGTTCTAGTGTAAGTAGAATTGGCCTCTACAGATAAAGCAGGTCATTTAGACCAAACTGGAATTTCCAATTGCCCTTTAAGTAATTCAGTAAGGTACGAATGGCACTTAAGAGTAAAATGTGGCTTCTCTAATTTCCAGGATGGCAATACTGCCCTGCTTACAATAATGTTTGTGTTTTAACATCCTCCCATTTATTCTGGGAAAAACACCAGAAATGAAAGTGAATTTTCCAGAATAGAGACATTTGGGTTTGTTTTTTTGTGTGTGTGACTATTTTCTTAGGACTAGTTTCTCAGGATAACATGCAAAGTGTTTTGCAAGACCACATCTAAATATAGGGCAAAGGTAGAATTCAACCTGAACATTCATAACTTTCTCAAAATGTGATTTGTTACCACGTAGGCTCTCTTTTTTTTTTTTAATGGCTGGTTTAATTAAATATCTGAAAGAGGCTGAGACTGCAGATATACATACAAACTAACATTTTTAGTATTTCAGTGTGAAGCTATTGTTTATTTTCAAAAATGTTAACATTTAGAGAGTTAGGAAATGGAATATATTTTGGCAAAAATTATGATTACATTGTGTCTTAGCACAACACCTGACTGTCTTCTGCCTCAGATTATTTTTTTGTCTTCTTCTTGGCACCTAATGCTAATACAAGCACTATGAAAATGCTTCTGATGTAATATGCAGTGAACTCCAATGGAAACAAGGTTTTGCAAACAGCATCCATTCAGAGGTGTGCTTACCCCGTGTGGCCCACAAATAAGAATATTCATAATTTTCACAAGTGGCCATTGCTTAAATTTGTGATTACATTATGACAACAAAAAGAATACTTTGGAACAGTTGAGTCCACATTCTCAAGTGGAGAGAAGTATGTATATGTCCCCAAAGTTAGCCGACAGATATTTATATGGACAGGCATGGTGCTTTCCATAAACTTTGGGATTTCGATATCATTTTCTATCCCTCCTCGTTCATGAACTAATATAATCATGAGCAGTGCAGCAAAGTCAGTTGTGTTTCTTCTTATTGACCCTAATTTTTCCTTTTTCTTGCATCTTCTCAGCCTTTGTTAGCATGTCGTGTGTGGTACTGCAGTGAGACAGACCTATTGATCTGGGGAATTAATTGGTAATTAATCTTTGCATTTGCCTTTTCCCTCTCGAGGAGCCAACTGCTGTCTTTTTTGTTTTAATAGAACAAAAAAATATTTTCTTCCAGTATGTTCTGCCAAATTCTGACCGCTGGTTTTTTGTTTATTAGAATAATTGTATGATTTTCTACTGAGTATTCTTTCTGCGTTTTTGTTTTCTGTCGATAATAGTTCTTTCATTCGTGACCATAGAGAAATGAAGGGTGCTTTTTATATTTGGGGCGATCCGTTATAAAGCACTAGGACACTTCTTCCGTAGTACTGGTACGTAAATGTTCCTCTGGCAGTAGTAGGTGGGTTGCCTTCACCTATCGGTACATACCTTTCCCATGTTGTTTAATTTCCTTACTGACAAATGATGGAGTAAACTTGGGTAGTTTCCAGTCAAGAAAGACTGGAAAGTTGGAGAAGATGTCAAGAGGTTTGAGGTTAGGAATTTAATCTTTTAAAACTCCCCTTCAACAAAGATATCCATAAATAATGTGTGAGACAAGTTTGAACAGAAACTAAGAATTTAAAAAAAATGAAATAAAATTTCAGCTCCCTCATACAGCATTTGTGACAAAAATGCGACAGAAACCTATATTCATATAAAATGTGGGAAAACAGAATGTGTTTTCTGAGTTTGCTTGATTTCTTCATTATTCTAACAGGATTCCTATTCAATATGCAGCATATTTGCATAAGTATTAAAATAATTTATCATGATTAATTCTATTATAGTAAATTTCAGGCCTAATCACAATCTGCCATATACTGTAGTGGTTTGTCAGTATTTCATGTTTTCCGGGAGGTTTGGTGGAATTGGTGCTCCTGGAACAGCACAGATGTCATCGGAGTTTGCTGTGATTAATGCGGTTCTGAAGGAGATCTAATAACGATTAGCCAGTTTCATAAAGTGTTACAGAATTAGGTCAGTGCGAGAAAATTCTAAAGCTCTTAAAAATGTACATGCTGGCAAGTCCCTCTGGCCACAAATTGGATTTCTTGAACAATGAGGAGGTTTGACCTTGGAAATAGATGAACTCTTTGGGCAAAGGTGGGAAAAGGAGACAATTTGTCCTCAAATACTCAAAGGATTGAAAAAAAAATGTGGGGTGAGTCTTAAACTAAAGGTTGAAAGTTATAGGGAAGTAGATATAAATCTGATCTATTATAATTTTTGGAAAATCACTAGAAGCACAAGGGGCTTCATGGTTCTAATGGGCCCACAAAGGAATGGAGCTTCCTTACTGGAATTATCTAGGTAGGGATAAGATACCTGTTTAGAAACACTATCAGAAAGTATTTTTTTCAATGGCTTGCAAGGAATTTCTCTTTAAGTAAATTCTGATTTTTTTTTTTTTTCCTACCGTGAGTTTCCATAAGTTAACGTCCCTCTCAGTATCAACAGATTTCTTGTATTTTTCTTAGGTTTTGGTGGAGGCTTCAGTAGGAGATGGCTTCACTGGAGACATTGCTGTCGATGATTTGTCATTCATGGACTGTACCCTCTACCCTGGTAAGGAAGAATATTTTAACATAGGAGTATTCTCAAACCTATTTACTTGGGAAAAAAAGGCTGTGGAGGAAATCAATTTTTCATTTCCACAATATTGTAAAAATACCCCTACTTCTGTTCTGTTAGTGTATTAACTCTGGAAAAGGTTACTATGAATCTTTGCTAGTAATTAGTCTTAATATCTTTGCAAACATGGTAGAGAGGTTTAAATCAGTTATGCTTCTGTCTCATCATGTGGAAAATATTAGGAAATCATGTCTGAAGTTAAACCATAATTCCATTATACTTGAGGGGTTATAATAACCGAATTGGTCACCTTATAATTACATTGTTTTGGAGAATGTATACATCTCTCCATTACCTTCAGAGATGGTTTCCTGTCAGGCAACACTAAATATTCCTAAGGATTGCTGTCAACCATTTCTTCTCGTGTCACACATTTCTTTTATGAAAAAAAGCCAACAACACAAATATATGTTTCCCAGATTTCTATTTCCATCCTCAGCCTTTACCCTGAGATCCAGACTTGTGTACTAACTACCTATTGAACATCTCAACTTAGATGTCTGGTAGACATCTCAAAGATAATGAAGGGAAATAACCTAAAACAAGCCTACAGTAAACTAAAATAAAGCTAAAATAAACACCCCAGGCAAAGCTCCACCCAGGCAGTGCAAAAAAAAAAAAAAAAATAGTAGCAATCTAATAGGACTGGTTATCAAGCTCTTGGCTCAGAGGCTAGAGGCTCTTAAATTGCCCAGCAAGGGGGAGCACAGCTTCCTTTCTGAAGAGATCAGAGGCACAGTAATTTAAAAAGCAATTGCAATAATCCATGTAGAAAGCACTCTCAAGTTCTGAAGACTTAACCTTCAGTCCTGCTCCATCACTGTAGTGTTACTGGTTAGAAGAGTACCAGTCTCTCCCTGGACATAATCAGGGCTGGACTCCAGTTCTTTTCATTGTACTGTGGGACTCAGCTCTGAGTCTCTACCCCATCATCCTGGCAAGATTAATTCCCTTAACTGCTCTGTGTCATGGTTTCCACAGAACTCTGCAGAAAGCCAAATCCCTCTCTGGATAAGGCCAGCAAGAAGGAAATTAGAATTCAACAAGTTTACCCTTATCTCTTGATGGCTGCAAGTGAATTCTTGCCTACTGATGGTCCCCTCCATCTTGCCATTCTTCCACGCCTCCCTGTCTCAGTAAAAGACAGTTTATTTCTATTTGTGTATTTTTCATGAACAAATCTGCATCGCCAGTAGCTTCAGATATATCCAGAGCCGACTGCTTCTGTCCAAGGTCCAAGCCACCACTGTGTCTGCATGGATTATCATCGTTGCCTTTTAAACGATCTCTGCTTCTACCCTTGGGAATATAATCTGTTCTCCAAACAGCAGGCGAATGGTCTTTTTCAAACTTAGATAAGATCATGTCCTCCTGTCATTAAAGTCTTCCTATGATATCCTCTTTCATGGAGAGCAAAAGCCAACTTCTATAGTAGGTTCCAAGGCAGGCATGCCTGGTGCCCTCATACCTGGGGACTTCACCCACCACCCCTGGGCTTCTGCTTACTTCTCTTATCTACAAGGCCTTTACGATAATCTTTAAATCCTCCAGCCCACTTAAGCCTCGGGGCTTCTACACCTTCCTGTCCCTCATCCTGAGATGAGATAAATACTCCACTCCCTTCAGTACTTCTTTCTTTTTTTTTTTTTTTTTTTTAAAGATTTTATTTATTTATTTGACAGAGATCACAAGTAGGCAGAGAGGCAGGCAGAGAGAGAGAGAGAGGTGGAGGCAGGCTCCCTGCGGGGCAGAGAGCCCGATGCGGGGCTCGATTCCAGGACCCTGGGATCATGACCTGAACTGATGGCAGAGGCTTAACCCACTGAGCCGCCCAGGCGCCCCTCAGTACTTCTTTCTGATCTGCTCTGAAGTTTCTTCATTAGTAAGGATTTCTCTGAACATCACACACACACACACACACACACACACACACACACACACAGAGTCTCTTCATTGACATTTTTTTTCTTCTTCTCATGTTATTTTTCTCCATAACTCCTATCACCCTTATGGTTCTGTTTCTGTTTTCCCCAACTATACTGTTAGTTGCCTGACAGCAGTCATTTTTAATTGATCACTGTCTTATGTCCAGAACTTAAGCAGCATCTGGCACATAATATTACTTAGTATTAACCTTTGTTGGATAAATGGGTAGAAAGGTGGAGAGATGCCTATATCTTTTGAAGTGCTTTATATAGTTTTGATATATATTTTAGTTTATTATTATTGCTACAATATTATTTTTATAACTTATAAATTTTATATATAAATATATATGATATATATAACAGACCTGTTATATATCACATATATTTATATATAAAATATACTGATTTATAAATTTTTATGATTTATAAATTTTTATTATAAATTATTTATGAATTATAAATTTATGGTTTATAATTTTTTATAATTTATAAGACACACTCATAGCCCAGATTTTGTTGAAAGCCGAGCCTCCGTGGCTTATAACCACAGGCATGTATTTCTTGCTCTCAAGCATGTGGGTGGGCAGAGCACAATAATGGCAGAAGTATGTGTTTCTTGTTCAGAGCTCTTCTTAATTCTGTAGAGCTTCAGGTTGTGTATTTCTGTTTCTTCTGTCCTGTTTATCTGGGACCAAAGCTAGAGGACAGAGGCCTTATCTGACATATTTTGTTGTGAAGCAGAGGGCAGGAAAAAGAAAACACACTTAAAGCTTCTGTTGGGACATGCTGTGCACAGTGCTCACATCCACTGGTCAGAACAGGTCACGTGGTCAAGACTAACAAGGGGGCAGGGAAACTTTCTCAACTGATGTGGCAAGGATAGGAATATAGAAAGTCCTTATGAGAGAGAGAGAGGTGATGAATCAGTATATTAATAGCATTTACCACTCATATGTACCATCTTACATACTACTCTAACTTCTTTGATTTTGATGTTTTATTTTTTTAGAGAGAGAGTGACACATGCATCGCAAATGGGTGGGCAGGGGGAGTGGAGGGGGCAGAGGGAGAGGGAGAGAGAGAATCATAAGCAGGTTCCACATCCAGCATGGATCCCCACATGGGGCTCGATCTTACAACCCTAAAATCATGACCTGAGCCTGAATCAAGACTTGGTTGCTTGAACAACTGAGCCACCCAAGTGCCCCCAATCCTCTAACCTTTTATGAGTCTAGAATAATGTCTAGTCTGTTGTCAGTGAAGAGATCTTAAATGTTGGATAGGGTTGATATCTTTGTTATCCCAGTTTTATGGAGCACACGGAGAAGGGGATAACCTGCCCAAGGCTACCTAGCTAAAAAGTGACAAATTATGTCTGCTTCTTAGGAGAACAGCGTTAACCACTATCATACAGCTCATCAAAAACACTAACCTCACAAGGAAGAGAATATATATTCTACTTTATAGATGTGAAAAATTAAATGTAAAGAGCCTAAAGGGCAGGGATGAAAATACATAGTTGAGGGAAAGAACGAGAGTTTCATCTAAGAACCTGTGATTTCAGTGGCCAGGGCTCTTCCCAAATCGCCCCCGAGTCTGAGCTTAGGGAGCATCACTGTGACCCCAGTGGCAGCGGAGACCATAAAATAATATAGAAGGGAACACAAGTTACTGCCGATACTATTGCTGCTCCGGTTATCTTGCTACTTATGCTCTGTGGCTGATGGTTCCAAAGGAGAGAGAGAGAATGAAGTGGCCAGACCCAGAGGCAGAGATGTGAAGTATCAGTTACAGACCATTAGTCCTGATATTCTGGTTCAAGTTTTGGATGAAAAATATGGGATTTTAAAAACTGCCTGAACTGTATGGTTTTAATGTTGGCTTCGTAACAAAAGAAACACTGAATTAAAACCACAGAGCCTATTGAAACGATAGGTTTCTTAAAGGAATTTGATGTCATCTTTCCATAAGATGAATGTAAAAATAAAATTTCGGCTTTCAATAAAAATATTGCCCTTGATGATGACCAGTTTTTTTTTTTTTTTCCTTCTGTTAGCTGAGACGGGATCAGCACGTGTAGATTCTCTTGCAGTTGTTGATTTGTTTCCCAATATGAACTGATTATCTACAGTGTTTCTCTTCCTTGGCTAATAAAACAAAACTTAAAAATACATACACACAGATGCAAAATATTGACCTAATCCCCAGAGTGTGTGTTGGCACATAACCGATATCTTTTATCTTGTGCTAATGACCATAAGGAGTCCTTTATTCCGTTTTTACCTATTTCCTTAAAATCAGCCTCTTTTTCCCTCATTTCTTATACCTTTTTATGATGTCACTATTCTCCAGCAACCCAGGTTGAAATTCCACAGTATTCTTTGACTTTCCCCTTAAGATTGCCTACTTGCAAAACTTGCTGACTCCAACTCCAAAATAATTCTCAAATTTCTTCTGTTTTTTTTTCCCCATTGTTACCGTAGTTCAAAACAGTGTTGACTAGTAAACTTTTAACTGCAAACTTTCATTAATTTCCCCCCAATAGTATATATGCCGTGAGCTTAGTTTCCTTTCACTTTTTCCTACAACATCATTATTTGCTTTCCTAGGTCAACTCTTTCTCATGTTCTCACTTCCAGTTGTTTCTAACTTAATTTTCGAATGCATTCTCTGTTATGGATTGTACCCTCTTTGTTTCCATATCTTGATGAATATAGATTTTAAAACTAATCCAGGAGGATACTAGAGAAAAGACATTTTAGGCAAGATTAATTGCATTTCTAGGGAAAGTAGACAAACTTAACCATGCAATAGAATCCTCTGATTATTTTTGTGTCAGTGTATAATGATGTTGCTCATTCCCAGAGTAGAGAGTCGTGGAGGATGGTGACAAAGTCAAATCCCCTCACTTTGAATCAGATCATCAGAGTAGATGATTAAGTAAGAATTGTTGCCAGACAATATTCAGATTTAAAAATAAGTATCCCATAGAAAGTATCTGTTTTT